ATATGGACAGATACAAATGAAGATACAGTTAATGACATAGATATAAACAAATATTCTGTGAGGAATTGGTTTATGGGATTAAAGGACACCAAAATGCCCCACACTCTGCAAGCTGGAAATCCAAGGAAGCTGGCAGTTTGGTTCCAGCCCAAGTCCAAAAGCTTAACACCTGAGGAAGCAGATGGTTTGGGTCGCAGTCTACAGGCAAGAGATGACCTATCCCAATCAGGGAGCAAGAAAATTCTCCCACCTTTACCTTTTTGTTGGATTCAAGCCCTTGAGGTATTAGATAATGCCCACTCGCACTGGGGAAGACAATATACCCTACTTACTCTATAGACTCACCTTCACAGCTATATTCAGAATTTTAAACCCATATCTGAGTATCCCAGTCAAGATGACACATAAAATTAATCATCTTAAATCCACCAATCATCAACATGGCACCTCTATGCATCTCTTTAACTATAGTATTTAATAAAGACAACAACAAAGTCACAATTATACCTGATGTGATACAACTATGTTGTGTACAACTGAAAACATACTAACCCCTTCCTCAGAGGAGGAAAAGTCCTTAAATGATGTCTGCCTTCCTCCTTGATATCCCAAGCTTAAATTCTATGGTCTAAAATTAAATAATTAAATTCTATGATACAAAATCAACACATTTTAGGTTACATAAATAAGAGAAAAAAGAAAACAAAGATATTTGCTATATATGCATTCAAATCCATGACAAGGAGGAAATACTCATTGAGCTTACTCTTCATTCCTGTAACTGCCGTGTGGCTGTAGTTGGTACTCATAACCACCTTCACTCACTCTGCATGCTCTTGGCTTTCAGTACATAACCCTGGTGGTTGTGGTTCCTTACTGAGTGTAGTAACTCATTCATTACTGCAGTCTGGACCATTAATCATCCTGCCTGTTTTGTTGTCCTTTGCCACTGCCCTTAACCATGGGGCATGTAATACTCAGAGATACCCTAAAGGGTCTCCTGTGCTTTGAACATAGTCTTTCTTATCTCCATTGAGGAGTAGTAGTCCTGTTTCCCCTCAATAATGAGGACCAGTCTCCACAGCCAGCACTGTAACTTTTTTTGCATGTGGATTTAGAACTATGTCTGGGTGGCAGTCTTACCTTATAATTCATTTGAATCATTGTTGTAGCTCCTAGCAGAATCCTTTCTCCCTCTGGAACTAAAATCTCTAGGCCAGCAGAGAGCAAGAAGTTCCTATGGTAATAGGAAATATGGATGTTGCTAGTAGGTCACTGGGCATAAGAGTTAATGGTTCCAGTTCCTTTCCCACTGGTTGATTCCTGAACCCAAGAATCCTGGCGATAAAAGAAGTAGCCCTATATGTGGAATGCTATTCAGGGCCTACAGAAGCCTCCTGGAGCAGCTTTTTCCAGCTTTACAAACTTTACAGTGCCTTGCTGGCATGTAACTGAGTCTGTAAAAGGCCATTCCATCATTGGATAGGAGCCAGCTATTTCAAGATGGTGGGGAACATGGTGACTCCAGTGAATGTATGAACCTGGGCTCACTACCATCATTCTTTTGCTGTGAAGTGAGTTCCTTGATCAGAAGCAATGCTGTGTGGAGTACCATGATGGTACATGGACATTCTGTAAGTCCAGAAGGGGGTGGTAGTTCTAACAGAAGCATGGCAAGTGGGGAAGGCAAATCTGTATTCAGAATCTCTGTTCCAGTAAGAACAAAATGTTGCCCTTTCCTAGTGGAAGTGGCCCAATGTATTCAACCTGCCATCAGATAACTTCCTGGCTCAAAAATGGCACCATCTCTGGGACTTGGAGTCAGTCTCTGTCTTTAGTAGATGAGACACTCGGCAGTGGCCACACCACCAAAGGTGTTGAGGTGAAGTCCAGGTTGCCAACCCGATACAAAATTTCCATTCCTGTCCCCATGACCACTTCATTCATGGGTGCACTGGACCATGATGGTGGTGGCTGGAAAAGGGGGCTGAATGGTGTCCACAAGGTGGGTCATTTTATATACTTGATTATTAAAATCGTTCTCCGCTGAGGGCACCCTTTGATAAGCATTCACATACAACACAAATAGCTTTACATTGTTATGCCCATTCAGAGATATGTAGCCACATATCTCTTCTGCAGATTTCTACATCAACTATTTTTCAGCAGTGTTCTTTCCAAGTCCCTGGCCGTACAGCCAAACCATGGGTCATAGCCTATAAATCAGTATATAAACACATCTGGTCACTTCCCTTTCCAAAAAAAGTAGACTCACAGGTGCACTACTTGAAGTTCTGCCCACTGGGAGAATTTCCCAAACCACTGTTCTTCAGGGATGTTCCAGAAGAGGGAGTAGTGCTGCAGCTCTCCACTTTCAGGTGGCCCCCGCATATGGTACAGAACCATCTATAAATCAGGCCTGGATCATCTTTTCCTCTGTCACCAATCAAAGGGAACTGGAGAAGCTAGCTCTAGTATGCACAATGCCTTGGGTTCAGTCTCTAGCTTAAAAAAGAAATCATGGGGAACTCTCTAGGAATCCATAGATGCAGGCTGGGGAAAAAAAAGACAGAGTAGCAGAAATGGAAATATTGATCATTTGGACCATGTTGTGTAATTTCTTATCCCATCAGGGCCTGCTCAGGCCTTGTCGCATATAGGCCACTTCAATTTGATGATGGAGTGCACACCCAACTTTATGGGTTGGTGGTCAGGTAACACCCAGTTCGTGATGGACAAATCAGAGCATTTGACACTTTGGTGGCACGTGGTTAAATAGTCTGTCTCTACTAACACCGAGTAATAGGTCAAGATCCGTTTCCAAAGAAAAAGTTTTTATCTGAGTATGATGGCAAGGCTTTGCTCTAAAATCCTAGGGACTTACGCTGCAGGAACACAAAAAATATTCAACTTGATATAATTTTTCATTCCTTATGCCATTATGTCACACTCTTAGTATCTGTTGTCATACATGCTACCCAGATCTCTGCCTGTAAATATCACAAAACCCAAGTAGTTTTGGGGGGATATAGCATACATCCTATCGGTCACAATTTGAATCATACCTTTAAGAGTCTGCTGGTTCTTGAGTCCAGTTATAGGTCTAGAAGCAAAGAGAGATGAGGTGGGGTACTAAGGAAAATCAGTTATGTCTCACATGGCATCTGGCTCAGGTGAGGCCCCTACCATATCCACAGACAGTGCAGGATTAATACTTTCAGACAAGGATAGAAAGCCAGCAGGGAGGCCACTTCCACTAGCAAAGGAGAATCATCAGAATTTAGGAACTCCATGTCCCTACTTTCACCAGGATCTCCCCACAAGTTCTCATCCCACCTTCCTAGATCCCAGTCTTTTCCCCATCAGTACCCTCACTATAACAGCAGACACCTGGTGAGGTTGGTGTAAACGTAATTCTACCAGTGGCGGGATGAGATAGTGCATTTGATTTTAAGCATTCTCAGCTCTGCAGGGCACTCACAGAAATATTTAGGTATATATTTGGTGCCCGAGACACATAGACACATCTGGAGACAATGTTTAATGAGAGGCTGAGGCATCCCATGACCCAGTCAAGCTGACACACAAAATTAACCTTTGCACCTGCCTAAAGCCATGTACCTGGCAAATTTAAGAGCCTGGATTTGCAATCTGAAAACCTATTTGCAAAACTATGACTTCAACACTAGGTAGGAGCACACAGAGATCATAGGTATGGGACCCACAGGTTCCACAGCAGACAAAAGAAAGAATCACACAGAGCAAAAACACTTTTACCTCTTTACTGAAAAAAAAATCCACCCTTTCAAATATTTATTTTTATGTCACTGACAATTATGCCATTGATAGATTTTAACTGAATAAAAGTCATGTATACATATAATTTGCTTTCCAGTATCCTTTCTTGAGTACCAAAGAGAGATATAAACTTAAAGCTAATATGGGTGGAGATGATACTGGTTATTTACATGTGAATATAAATGTGTTTCAGAACATTAAGATATATTTGTTGAAAATTACAGATGTAATAAAATGTAGAAAACAAAATAAGCCATTGATTCTCAAATCGTGACCTTAAGTCATCCTTTATAAATGTAAATTTTATGACCATTTCTCATTTTGTCAAACTGGTATTCAGAGATTTAGGGTCATTTACTCTCCATTGGGTGAAAATTATAAAGGTAAGATCTATTTCCTTCAAGTATGGCGATTTCCAGTTTTTTCAGGTTGTGGACTCATTCTTCAAATGATATATTAAGAAATATAAATTATCATAATAATTTGAGGGGAAGATGGAAAAGAAAAGTGGGGAATCGGGGAAGATGGAAGGACGTTTGGAGAGCCACCCACCTGGCTGGCTACTCAGGCAGCAGCTTGACAAATTTGGAACTTCATAGAAAACATTTGAAAGCGATCATACAATATATATTAAAGTAACTTAGATAAGAAAATGATTGTAGATATATTAAAATACTATAAGTATATTAAAGTTGTAGATGTAATCACTAGTTTAATAAAATTTCTGTAAGATGTAATATATGATGTCAGCACACATATCACGGAATGCTACACCTCATGTATGTGTTAAACTTCAATTTATTTTTTATTTTTTTATTTTCTGGTTTTCAAGTGGTGTATTGTATACTGAGGCATTTAATTCCTGTCTCTGCTTGAGTCTATTCACCTCTTGACCATAGCTGTCGAACATGCAAATTTAGATTTTACTGTAAAAAAAACCCTAAAATGTATTATATTTAGTGGACTTTTAAACACACTTCTCTGACACAATACTTAATTTAAAGTGAACAATTTTTCTCTCTTAAAATGAAGTTGAGATTTTTTTTTGAGCAATGATGTATTTCTTTTGATTTTCTCTTATTTTCTGATATAGTGACTGTAATAAATCCTGATCCTGCCTTTGGTCTGGATATTTAGTAGCTATGTATTTGTTTTCTTTGATAGCAGCACACATTAATATTTATAACCATTTTCCTTTGTAGCATCTCCCAGATGGCTCTGCGCCCAGTGCACATGTTGAATTTTATCTTTTACCATATCCCAGTGAAGTTCGTAGGAGGAAAACAAAATCAGTTCCAAAATGTACCGACCCCACTTACAATGAAATTGTAAGTATGACTCATCTCCTGTCCAGTCATTTTGTATTTTTCTTACCATTTTTTTAGCTTAACAACCAATGCTGCAGTAATTGGCAGCATTTCCGTAAAGGAAATATATTTCTCAAAATAGTCACAATATGCTGATAACTCTTCTAGATGCTATAAGAACTGGAAACTACAGATACTGCTTTCAAAGCTCTAATGGACCAATTTTCACATTGGCGAACCTCTAGCAAAATCCAGATGCTTGTCCCTGACTTCATCTTGTTTTCTCTAACCTTGTTCTCCTTTATTTGATTTTCTTTACCTAATAATTTTATCATAAACTACCCAGTGTATAACAGTAAATCTCACAAAATCTCTTTTGAAACACTGAAAAAATACAAATTAAAGTTAATGTATTATAAATAGTACTATAATTTATAACATACAGTTTGAATTTCCAGTCTTCTAACTTCTAAGGCAAACCCCTGCATTTATCCTCCTGAGTTAACCCTTTTCTGTCTCTTCCCTACCTTTCTCAGTTGGTTGCTCGCTCTTTCTTCCAGCTGTCTCATCCAAAAGATGCTCAGATGCTCCCCTCAGGAATCGGTAAAAAACAAAAACATCTTTCTTACTTTAGCATTTCCACAGAAATTTCCTTTCCTTCCCTATCCCCTTTAAGTTTTGCAAAATTAATTGTCACTGCTTGCTGTCACCTCATTACTTCCCATTTACCTTTTAATCCTTTGGGAATATGGATTCTGACTTTTATTTTTAGTGCTTTATTCTGGTGGCATCAACACACTCCTAACTGCTGAACTCAGTGAGCCCCAGCCTATACTCACACAGCCACGTGCTCAGGAGCACGACTGCAGCACTACTGACCTATTTGCTGTGCCTTATTTCTTGCAATCTCCCTCATCTTTTTCTCTCATACTGCATTCCATGGTCCACTCTCTCCTCCTCTTCATACACAGTAGGACTTTCCTTATCTACAGGTTCTGTACCCTAAGATTCAACCAACCACTGTTCGAAAATACTAGGGAAAAAATTGCATCTGTACCAAACTTGTATAGACTTTTCTCCACCGTTATTCCCTAAACAATGTGGTGTAACAACTATTTACACTGAATGTACACTGTATTAGGTATCATTGGTAGTCTAAAGATGATTTAAAGCATTCAGGAAGATATGTGTAGACAGTATGCAAATACTATGCATTTTATATAAGGGATTTGAGCATCTTTGGATTTGGGTGTCCTTGGGGAATCTGGGATACTAATGGACAGCTGTATGCACCCTCACCATTATCTTATGTATGTGTATTTATAAATTTTATCAACTCTATGTAAGTCATATCTGAGTTAATTCTTCAAGACCTGGCTTGTCTCTAAACCTTTTGATTCCTGATTCCTGGAGAGCTTCATTTAGTGGCTCCTAGGCACTTTTAAGCCAGGCTTCCCTCTTCTCTTTCCCTTGTCAAAGACACCTTCCAATGACAGAGAACCTGTGCAGTAGTCCCTTCTCAGTTTCTGTTTCTGCAGTTTTAGTCAGTCACAGTCTAAAATTATTAAGAGGAAAATTCCAGAAAAAAAATTTCATGAGTTCTAAATTCCATGCTATTCTGGGTTGTGTGGTGAAATCTCACAACATCCCACTCCTCCCACGTGACCTATCCCTGTGTCCAGTATATTCATACTCAATGCACTACCTGCCCATTACTCACCAAGTAGATTTCTTAGTTATCTTTGATACTATAACACTATCAAAGTGCTCAAGTAATCCTTATTTTAAGTAATAATGGCCCGCCCCCAAAGCAAAAAAGTAATGATGCTGGCCATTTGGATATGCCAAAGAGAAGCTATAAAATGCTGCTTCTAAAAGTCCTATATCATCACAAGAAGAGTGAGTTCAGTACACTAAGATATTTTGAGAGAGAGAGAGAGAACATTCATATAAGTTTAGTACAGTATATTGTTACATTGTTCTATTTTATTGATGGTAACTATTGTTAATCTCTTACCAGACCTAATTTATAAATTAAATTTTAGCACAAGCATGTGTGATTAGGGAAAAACGGGATTCAGTACAATCTGTGGTTTTAGGCATCCACTGGGGGTCCTGGAAAGTGTCCCCAGCGCATAAAGGGTGCTACTGTACCATCTTACACTCCATGTATGAAGGATGGAATTTCCTGCATTCTTTCCAGCACTTCCTGTTGCTATTTTTTATCTTAATTCTTTTGGAAGATATAGTATAGTATCTCCTTGTGGCTTTAATTAGAATTTACTTAATGACTAATGATGCAGAACTTCTATTCGTGGGCTTATATTTTCTTGGGGACTATATTTCTTTTCTATATATTTTCTTTGAGAAAATAAGTTGCCATGACCTTCATCATTTTCTAATTAAAATGGTTGCAGTTTTACTCTTGACTTTTGAGCATTCTTTATTTATTCTGAATGCTAGTTTTTTGTGAGATATGTGTTTTACAAATATTTTCTCTCAGTCTATAGCTTTTCCTTTCATCCTCTTCATAAGCTTTTTCACAAAGTGAAAGTTTTTAATTGTCACAGAGTTTACCAATTTTTCCTTTTATGGATTCTGCGCTTGGTGTCGAGTCTAAGAATTCTGCTTAGTGCCAAGACCCAAAGACTTTGGTTATATTTTTTACTGTAAGTTTTATAGTTTTACATTTTCTATTTAATTACATTGTCTATTTTGAGTTAATATTTTCATAAAGTATGAGGTTTAATTTCCCTCCACCTCCTCATACGAACGCAATTATTTCAGCATCATTTGTTAACAATGTGCTTCTTCTTCCATCACATTTCTTTGGCACCTTTGTCTAAAGCCACCCTGGAATATTTGTGTTCATACCCTCTTTGTCCACATTTATCCAGGTTCTCGGGTCACTTTGGAGGCTTGTCATTGCCTGAATTCTTGCTGTGACCTCTGTGAAGGGCTGGGGGACCATTCCTCCCACTCGTCCCTTCTCCGCCCGTTTGAGTCTTACCTTGCACTGGACTCTGTGCACAAGCTCACCGCCTGCATTCCTACCCCACACTTAGAATATTTTATTTGGTTGTAAACATTTTTTTTCTTGTAGTGTAGTATAATCTTCTTGAGGAAGGGGAAAATGGCTCATTTTTCCTGGTGTCTTTAACACTTAGTTACTTCTCAAAGGGTGTGAGTAAATATTTTCAGCAGTTTTGTAAGTGACACTGTGTGTATAAAATGTAAATGTATATAAAATATAAATATATTTATATGCACAGAGACACTATAAATCAATGAGGAAAGATATTTTGACATTTTGTTATATTTCATAGTGACAATAGCTAGAGATATACACTCTCCAACAATATATTATTTGTTTCTTTCTGTGCTCTTTGAATGTCAGACCCCATATCTTATTGTCCAGAAACTTCTCTGATCTATGCTATACATAAGTATTTTAATCTAAGAAAATGCATAATAATAAAAAGCCACTAGACATTCAGGATAATTTAAGTAAACTGACATTTAATTTACTTCAAGCTTTGTGTATCATAAAAGCAGCAATAAAAACTCATGCTTGGAGATTACTTTGTAATTCTAGATGTGTAAATAATTTCTTGATGCCTTGAAATACTTCTAGGTCTTCATACACCCACAGTTCACTGATCAGAAATCACTACAATACTTTCAGAATTTGACTGTATTTGTGGCACAAACAAACACTATTTATACTTTGGCCACATTTTAAATTACTGTAAAAACAAAAACAGAGTCCATGCATAGCCAATTCCAAAATGAGCATAATCTGGTCCAACAGAAATTTGAAGCAATGTGTGCATAAGGAACTATTTTAATAACAGTCATCAAGACAGCAAGAGATCATCACATAAACGAGTTTGGCAAGGGACCCGGCTGAATTTGGACAGCCACGAGAGAAAAAGGGGCCACAATAGTCTCATTTTTCTCCTATTATACTGTGTCTGTACCATACACAGGAATATTTATAAGAAATGCATAAAATACACTCCTTCCATATCTGATTTTACTTCCTCTTTCCCTGTGTGTGACATCAGGCCCATCATTGTGCCAAATCCCTAATGTATTTCTGCACATCTTTAAGGACACCTTACTAGATGTCCTTACTAGTAAGCCCTGGGCTCATGAGAGGCTCCAGAGAGTTACCACACAGCTCCACCCTATTGTAAGTATCTGCCCCACTTCCACCTCTGTAGACTGCACTGCTGCATCACCAGCCACTCACGGCAATGGGGCTGCCAAAACCAGGCAATGTGCTGTGAAGTCAGAGAGGGTGTCCTCACTCCCTTTATTTTTATAGAAATCTCTCAGATGAATACAAAAGGGATATCACATTGCATACCAAGTATTACAAAGTTTTTCATGAAAATAGTTCTTTCCATTTTTATGCATAGGCCTGTCATATTCAGATAGGAGAGAAGCTGGGTCAGGGACACTGCCAAATGGCAGAAGCTCCACCCTTCAGAGCCTCAGGCTTTGGTACAGGGCCCAGCTCCCTTATTTGACACTTCCCAGAATGTGTCTCTACAGGTTTTGCCAGTCTCCCTGAAAAGCTCTGCCACATACAAATCCCAGTGAAGGCAAGACTGTGCTCAAGTGCATCTGGAGCTGGGGAGAGGATGCTCAGCATGCTGCCATAACAGCCTTCAGAAGCAGAGCAGGGATTCTAGCTCCAAACCTGTTGCTCTTTCCTCTCTAGTACCTTTGGCATCTTGTTACATCATCATTTTCAAATGATTCACTAGAAGTGCAGCATTTCTCTCCTGTAAGAGAATTACATTGTTATAGTCAACGTATTTTGGAAGTTGCATCCTTTTCTTAGATATTATCTTGTTATAACGTGTGAAAAAAATTAGAAAGGACAGAGCATGAGTGTCCTAAGTGCTTCACAGGTCTTAAAATCTCTTGCAGAATACTGTATGCAGTGACTGGGGCTCAGGGCTAGGTATACGGTACACTCAGTAACCCATACTTCTTCTTACCTGTTCATCATGTCATCTGATTTCTATAATATAATGAGAATTGTACAATCATGCACCATGTAATAATGTTTCAGTCAAGGATGAACCACATATGAGACAGTGGTTCCATAAAATTACCTCACCCACCAGCATTGTAGCCAGATTAGTTTGCACCAGCACAGCCTGATGCTCACAAAACAAAACACCTAAAGGGATATTTTTCAGAACATAAATCATCATTAAGCAACACCTGGCTATATTTGTAAATGAAGATATTGAGGCCCAGAGGTCCTGTAACTTGCTTTCAAGCTTAGAATTGCCTGACCCCAAAACTGTGTTTACTCCCACCCTACTATACCCTCTCCACCCACACAGTCCTCCTGACTGCACTTGTTTTGAACTCTTTCATCATCCTGCCTCCTCAAAACTCTTTCCACCAGCTCTAGACACACCAATTTCTGTCTTACTGTTCTCCCACTGCAATCATGGAAACGTACTCTAAAATTATTTACTAGACCTTCGTGTCAATAATGTACAGTGAATGCTTGTTTATAACTTAATAGATACCAATTACATTAAAGGTTTTCTACTGAATATAATAATTCCACATCCACAGATTCAGTATTTGTCAGAAGGTAGTGAAGACTTGGCTCGGGCTTATGGGTAGAAAAGTATTATAAAGCGAAATTAAAAGAACAATTCATTTATGGTTCTGTTTATACAAAGGCAGAATGCATATTAAATCATTTTGTGAAAACATCTCAAAGAATATTTTTATCTGTGTACTTCTGTAGCATTACCCACTAATTACTCATTGCACAATTTTTTTCAAAAAAAGAATGTCTTTTTGAAAAAAATGTTATGGGTGCAGTAAAACAATTAAAAAAGATGTATATCATACATGATGTGCAATAATTACATGTTTATAAAACTGTCACTTTTAAGAAAATAACTTGCATAATGAAGGAGAGGTTTAAAAATCCATTATGTAATATAAACTTTGGCAGTTCAAATGTTAGCATATTCACCAAGAAGATAATTAATTCCTAAAGTCATTCCTTGAACTTTCAGCTTGCTAGATAGCCAAGGGAACCTATTTTTTTTTCCAGAAAAGCTGATACAAAACACCAAGAAATAATTCCCTTTTTCATATATTTGATGGATATGTTTTAGTTGTAATTTATTAGAGTTGCATAGAGGCCAGGCTTTGTAGTAAAGCTGATATTATTCTCATTTATTTTTCCCCACAGTGCTAAAAGTAAGTATTAGCACCACTATGCAAGTAAGAAAACAGGTAATAATAGATTCATGTAAATATAATTCACTGATGTATTATTTTAAAACTTTACATTTTCAGGACTTATTTATACAATGCACAGAGTCTTTGAGCCAGATTTTTCCAGAGGCCTGGTGCTTGGAGTTATTCCATTTTTGTGCTTCATACACTATGACACTTTCAGAGCTCCTTCATCTGTTTTTTCTGTAGAACCACAGAGAAGTTCATCTGCTGAGAATGTTATAGGAAGGGAAATGGAGAATTATTTTGAAAGCTCAGAGATCACTGCAGATGAAAGAGAAGAGGAGGTTCTTTGGAAGACCTGGAAAGTTTTCTAGAATTAGGTATCCAGCTTCAGTTAAAGAACATGAATTAGAGGTGTGAGGTTTTGTTTAAAGTAGTTCTTTAAACCTTTTATTACCATAGGAGAACTCAATAGATGAGAGAAAAAAATTTAAATGAGAAACACTAGAAAACTGAAAAAATGCAAGTAAGATTCTAGAAGGGGTGGGTGGTCAGAAGAAATCCTAAACAGAGGTAGAGGGATTGACACCATGTTGTATCTCACGTCCCTTGATTGGTCATGTCCCAAGTGAATGATTTCCAGGGTAACAAGTAGACTGACCTTGAACTGAACGTCACTGAGAAGGCAATGTGTTCACAAGTGGTATTCTGTGCTATGCAAAGGTGCAGACACCACATCCACACTCACTGAGGAGACCTCCCAGTCAGCTCACGGGGCTTCTTTCTGCCTCTGGGTAGCATATATTGAGAACATTTCTTTCCATCTTGTAATGTGCCTATAAAAAGCAAGTTGATTTCCTCTGCCTGCCTCACAAGCACAAGGTCCCAAGTTCAATCTGCGGTACCAAAAAAAAAAGCAAGTTAGTAGCATCTTGTGGAACTCCTTTTCTAAATAAGTTCTAACACGTTTCCCTGGCAACCATGTCAGATTTCCACTCAGTCCCCCACCCCCTTTCATGTGGGTAACTGCTGTCTTTGTAGTACTACACTTTCAACTTCTGTTTACCCCAGCAGGTTCCAAATGGTAATGCCTGTAACTTGCTTCCTGGATATTATAAAGCGCAGTTGTGCAGATCACTTTTTTTAAAAAAGAGTCACATGAAAAAGAATAAGACACAAAACTGCATATACAGTGTAATTGCATGTCAGATTCTTAGGATGTGTTTATGTACAGAAAACAGAAAGAACAACAATATGTTAACCGTAACTATATCCCAGTGGTGGAAATTCAAATTTTTTTCTTTGTTCTTCTTGTTTTTTTTGTTTCATACATATTTTATTGAATAAATGTGTACTTTCATAATTAAAAATTAAGCAATTTTAAGTAAAAAAGTAATCATAGGGTGATTTCTCTATATACACAAGGAAATACTGTTGTACTACATTTAGATAGCACAAGAAAATCATAGGAATCAGTCTTCCTCATTACCTTAACTCAGAAATATGGTGTTCAATGATACTCAGTAAATCAAGGATGTGAAAAGATGAAAAATATTTTAATTTGTTTCTAGAAAGTAATTTATGGTCTCACTAAATTTGAAGTGAGTAAATTTTAATGGAGTCAGTATATTCTAAGGTGCTTTGAGAAATAGTCTGTCATTAAACTCCTTTATATTAGTAGAGCTTTACCTTTTTGGAATTAGCATTAGAAATGAAAGATTTTAATATTAACTTATCCACTCCAGGGCATAAGATACTAGCAGCTAATTTTTTTTTATTAAAAGCAGTATTCAAAAGAAAGATGCATTTAAGCTTGTCATAACTATTTTTATAGTTATTTATTATCTATCTATATTTTCATGCTTCTCTCCTTTTTCAGGTGGTGTATGATGAAGTTGCAGAGCTCCAAGGACATGTCTTAATGCTTATTGTGAAGAGTAAAACTGTTTTTGTGGGAGCAATTAACATCCAGCTCTGTAGTGTCCTGCTCAATGAAGAAAAATGGTATCCATTGGGAAACAGCATAATTTGACCATTACAATGAACATATGCATTATTTATTAACTACTTGTACTTTTTTTCACTTTTAGGTCTCTTTATCACAAAAGCAGGACATCTTTGTTGCATAGGGTATTAAGGACATAAGAAAAAGAGATCAAAATCTATCTTTTATAATTATTTATTCTCTCTTTGTTCTTTCCTTGATTTTTTAGGATCTTTACTCCTTAAATGAAGTGTAAGGTTCAATATGTAAAATAAGAAAGACAATTTTAATACATCCTTTAAATCCACTATATGTACACATTTTGTCTTATTTGCCTACAGTTAAAAGTAATATTTTTGATGTATTTTCCAAGAAAGAGAAGCAAATCAATAAATCCAATCAATTAATTCAAATTCTAAGTATAACTGTAATAAATTTTTTAATTTAAATATATGCTATCTACATATCCACTCATGATTCTATTTATTGACAAAATTGATAAGCTCCAACAAAGTTACTTTCTATCAGAAACCCAAGCCAGACACTTTGGCACAGACCAGTAATCCCAGCTACTTAGGAGCTAGGACAAAGCTCTCAAGTTTGATGCCAGCCTGGGTGACTTAGTGATACCTGTTCTCAAAATTTTAAAGTTAAAAAAGAGTTGGGGACATAGCTCAGGGGTACGATGTCCCTGGATTCAAACCCAGTACCACAAGAAAAAACGGAAGAGAGGGAGAGAGGGAAGGAGGGAAGAAAGAAAACCAAAAATATAAATGCCTGAAATTCTTAAATCTGATTGTTGAAAGAAACTCTTTTGCACAGTAATTTTTCATTACTCATGAATACTGTCACAGGATTTCTCTTACTCAGAGGCATGATCACATTTTAAACTTCATTGTCTCCAAACTCCAATATCTCAAACTGCTGAAACTCTCTTCTCCGTCCAAAATGTCTTGTATCTTTGCACATCAAGAACTTTCCTTACTTCTCAACCTACCTTCATAGACACCAAGCCTCGAATGAACAGTTGTACAGATTTCCACCTGGGTGGAAATAGAGGTATAACCCAAGACGCTATGATGCCACATTTGAGAGAATCAAACAGGATGCATTTAAAAATCCTTGCCATTCAAATTACTTAACATTTTTAAATGCTTACTTATTCAAGATTTTGCTGTGTGTGAATGAAAAAAATGAATTAAGTTATTTTGTTAGGTCATCTACATAACCTAAAAGTCTGTATATTTTTTCATTGAACAGTATTTCAGTGCCTGCTATGGGCCGATAGGGCCTCTTCTGAAATACATGATGATGCAAGTCCAGAGCACTCTGAATGCTGCTGGGCAACCATTCTGCAGGCTATGGTGCCATCTGCTCTCTGTCTGTTAGATGATAATTATACCCCCTTCTCTCTGCTGAAACCACAGCACTTCCTCCCCTAATCCACACTCTAAACTAAGGAGTGTTGCCTTTTTTACTTAAGAGATTAGAATCTGTCAAAGAAAACCTCCACAGATTTCCACCACTGTGCCTACCGCCGAGTGGATTCTACTCTCCACCTCTCAGTACCACATGTGCCTACCCAAAATCAGTCCCTCTCCTTCTACATCTGACCCCATCCCCTCTGACCCACTCAGAAATAATACTAATGAATCCCCTTTCTACTCAAAAAACATTGATTCCTAATCCCCACAAGATGATTCTCTTCCCCATACAATCACGGTATTATTTTTTCCAGAATAGAAAAAGTTTACCCTTACCCCACTTCGCCCTCCACATGGTGACTTGTTAACACCGATCCTAGGGCCAGGAAAGCTCCTCCCCAGGGCTGCCTCTCCTACTTCCAGTTTCCTCTCAAACCCATTATAAGCAGCTGTTTGCCACCTCCCACCTCCACAAAGCTGCTTCTGTCAAGTCACTACTGACCTTTGAGTAGCGAAATCCAGAGGTCAGTTTTCAGCCCTATTCTGATCTTATCTATCAATAATATCGAACACTATCAACAATTCTGCCATCTGCAATACAGTTTTCTGCTTGGCTTCCAGGCACCACACCCTTCTGGGCTTTGCCTCATTCTCAGTGAAGGTTCACCACACTGTGCAATGCTGGGGTGCCTAAGGGCTCACCCCTTGCTCCTCTTCACCAATTTTTACCTCCTTAATGATTTTGTCTAGCTTCAGGACTTTAAATATCACTGATATGTTCATGATTCCCAGCTTTATAACTTGAGCCCAGAATCTCTCCCTACTTCTAGGATTACATACCTAATTGCCTACTCAGTATGCCCCTTGAATATCTAATAAATATCTCACATTCATTTTCTTCCAAAACTACACTCTGGATATTTCCCTGTAAGCCTGTTTTATCTCAGCCTTTTCCCTCTTACTTAATAGTAAATCCATCCTTCAGTTATTCAGAGTAAAAAGAAAAATCTTAACATCATCCTTAATCTCTGTCTCTCTCTCTCTCTCTGTGTCTCTCTCTCTCTCTCTCTCTCTCTCTCTCTCTGTGTCTGTGTGTGTTTGTGTGTGTTTGTGTACATATTCATCCACTTATTCACTCCAATCTATTAGGAACTCTTAATGGTTTGACCTTCAAAATATATCCCAAATCCAATCATGTATCATATTCTACCTGCTGCTCCTCTGGTCCAAGTTCCTGCTATCATCATCTTTTCCTTCCACAGTCTCCTTGGTCGTGTGCTTTCCCTGTGCCTATGAAAGTCTGTTCCTATCTCAGTACCAAGAATAATCATGCAGTCTTCTGCTCAGAACTCCACAGGGCGTCTAATTTCAAAGTAAAAGCCCAAGCCTTTAAAATAACCTAAAAGCCCCTGTGTGATCTGACCTCCCATCAGCTATCTCTCTGATTTTAACTTTTATTCTATCTGTGCTCAGAGCATTCAGGAAATACTGGCCTCTTTTTTGAGCACTCCAGGCAGGCTTCATTCTTAGTGTTTTTGATCAGCCAGCAACTTCCTCTTGAAATGTGCTTTCCCTCCATGTATACCTTCTCAAATCCCTGTACCTCTCAGGTCTTCCTCAGAAGTTCCCATCTCTCTCAAGCTCACCCTAAACATTGTATGTCACCCTATGTACACCAGATACTTCCTACTCTGCTCTAGGTTTCTTCTTATGTGTTTATCACTTTGAACAGTCTATGTACTTTTAATTTTGATTGTTTATTTATGTTTTGCCTCCTTTCACTAGACATTAAGTCTTAAAATTTTAGAGGTTTTGTTTACCAACAGTACAGCCTCAGGTACAGGAAAGAGGAGCTCTTCCTGTGTCCTCACAGCAGAGAATTCTGCCTCCTATAGTTGTTACTCTTACCCACACCCACAACCTTCATTCTAGATCATTCTAGATACCTAAGCATCCCAGAATTCCCTGACCAGCTAACCTCTGCAGACTTCCTGTCTGGGTCCATTCATCTGAAGGCAGAATGCTTCAGTCAGTGACACCAATGAGAGGCTCCTGGTGGCCCAGGGAAGGCTGCCTGCCAGGTGTGTGGATGTAGCTTGAACGTGCTTGTTCAGTGTCCACAAATGTGTACTAGCCCCCCAAGTGCAAGAGGAAGTCAGAAGTGGGAAGAAAAATCAGACCATGGGGGGTTGGGGGAGCTCAGGACTGAGGCCAGCCCTTTCCATTTCACTATAATCCAGCATGAAGTTCAAAGGTTTTGGTAGAGGTACTACATATTTCTCATAAAATGAAAATAAAACATTGTATTTAACAGCTCATCAGTTTTGCCTGTACCATCTAAATTGAGGCAGATGGGATATGAGCATTGTGAGTTGTATCTTCCAAAGTCAAATGTTGAAGTCTTGACCTTCAGTACTTCAAAATGTGACTTTATTTGGAATTAGGGGCATAGCAGATGTAGTTAAAATGAAGTTGTTGGAGTAAGGGGAGCCCCTAATTCAGTGTGACTGGTGTCCTTATAAAAGGGAGTGATTTGGACATACACGTGCACAAAAGGAGACTACCACGTGAATATGAAGACAGAGGCGAGAGGGATGGCTCCACAAGCCACAGAATGCCCAAGATTGCCAACTAACTACCTAAAACTGGAAGAGAGACTTGGATTGGAAGGAGATTAACCTGGTAGTACTTTGATCTCAGCCTCCAAAACTATGAGGAAAACATTTTATGTTAAGTCGCTTGGTTTGTGACACTTTGTTATAGCAGCTCTAGTTAACTAATACATTGAGTTATTGTTTGTTGCTTTGTTCCAGCCCCACCAATATCAGGCATAATGTGTATGTGTGTGTGCATGTGTGTGTGTGTGTGTACTAATGCCTAAACAAATGATTGAATGACGCACAAGTGATCCAAAAAAACCCCAAAATGTCCCTAATCTTAGCTCACATTTGCGCAATGTTTTAAAGTTCCTTCAGGGTTTTTTAAAATATTTTTATTTGCTCCCTACAGGAAATCTAATGAACCCAAAAAAGTCTCTACAGAGTAACATTTAAAATTCTCATAGCAGCATAATTTTTCTATGCAAATAAAGTCTGAGAGAAAAACAAGAAAGAAAGTTTAGATTAAGTGGATATGAAGGGAGGACACATGACCACCCACTCAGTCCCCTACTCTCCATAAAGCCCTCTGGAAATTTGTATGGAAAACTAAGATATCAAAAAGGACAGACTAACAGAAACTGAGGTCACAGATAATTGCATGGCATTGGTATCATATAACTAAATAGTTACGGTAGGAAAAAATCCATCCTCAGCAAATATGGTTCAATCAGGACTCAATCCCCAGAAGAAATGGATTATTGAGGGCTCATTATTTTTTATACATAATCAAAGCCAAAAGTAAAGACTTGATAGTAAATAGAAAAAAATCTAGTAACTAAGGCAATTCCCCAACTTTAACTCTTATGTTGTAATGTGAATATCAGAATCTTAAGTTTACTGTATTTCCTGGTACAAGATCTGGTATGGCACCAGGGGTGGCGAACCTTTTGGAGCTTTCAATGATAACAAACAGCCCACTGTGGCACATGTGCCACAAGTTCACCACCACTCTCAATACAATGGACTTCTAGGGAAAATCTTGTCTTACTAGGCCAAATTTTGAAACAGTGGCTGAATTCAAATGTGCTACAAACTCTAATAAAATTGTAGCTTAAGATTCTTAACTTCAGACATAGGCATGCATGGCTACTATACAAACTTCACTAAATTATGCTCCTTTGTATGTGTGTTTGCTGTTTGGAAGTGGAGATTTGAATTTGAATGATACATCCACAGACTCCAGCCACTTCAACAGCACAGTGCTAAGCAGGCTCTGATTTTGATATTAAAGGAACTCTGATTACTAGAGTTCAGAGACTCAAACTATGGCTGCAATTAAACAAGGGAGCTGGTTTTATTAATATTTTAAAAAATAATTGAAGTTTTTTATACTAAGAG